TGGCTACTTGTACTAGTCCGGACCGATGCCGATTTATTGTGCTATCTCACTGAGATACCATGCCGCAGTTTAACATGAATACCCCACTCAGACACAGTATACTGACTCCGAGCCGACCAGTCCTTGTTTAAGCCCCCTAATGCCGAGCGCCAGGAATGGTAACAATAAGTACCATCTTTTAATGACTTTTGGTATGATGCGGCCGGGGATCGAACCCTGGACCTTCCGCTGTCCAACTAGACAAAGGAGGATGTCCACACCAACAGTCATGGTCCGCTTACGTCATTACGGGATACGACCACATACGACCACGTTGTCCCGCCATACGACCTATCCTGATGTAACATCATCAACAAAACCATCAAAGGTGTTGCTGAAGGACTGTTGTTTTTACAGACAAATCCAAGATGTAACATTTCCCATAGAGATGTGTCCACAGACGTCTTGGTGAGCATCATGCTCAAGCCTGCCATGGAGAGGAATCACTTTGGGGATGGTTCTGTGATATGGGGTGGGATAAGAGCATGTCACAGAACCCCTTATTTTTTTGAGCAATTTGACAAGTGTGGCCACCACTGCCACCAGCCAATTTCCATGTCATGATCAGACTTTTTTTGCTTGTAAAAGATGCCTTCCAGTGAATTTTGGAGATTTTTTTGCATAATAAAGATATGCTACTAGAACAGGGGGGCACGGGTGGCCCAGTCGTCTAAGGCGCCGCGATTCGCTGTGCAGAGTTGCGTCCCTTGGGCACGCCAGAAACCTATGATTGTGGGTTCGAATCCCGGTTCGCCCCGATTATGTTTCTAGGTTTGTCAGCACCATACCCGTGCTCGTGGGTTTCACCGAAGTGGTAAACGTCTGAGACCTGCATCACTTCGGGCTTTCCTCCCACATTAAGCTGACACGCCGTGATATAACTGGAATATTGTTAAAAGCGGCGTTAAAACCAACTCACTCACTCACTACTAGAACAGCCACAGTGAGGAGTATGACAATGTATCTTTACACAAAGTGACCATACAGCTAGCTCTCAATTGGGCTTTGATTTCAGCATGTACTGCCATTGTAAACAAGGGATAAATAAGCAAATGGAAATAGTTATACACGTTTCAGGATATTTTGTAATCACTTCAAGACATAAATCTGTCTAAGTGTGTGGATTTTTAAAAAATGAAAGCTGAAAAACAAATGTAATTTGTTGAATGGACTGTGTAAAATATACTGGACAAATATAGTTCTGGTTTGTTTTTGTTTGTTTTTTTTTTTGGGGGGGGGGGGGGGGGGGGGGAATAATCACCACACAATTTCATAAAAATACCCCCACCCAAAATATTCATGAACCCTAAGATGTTTTGAGTAGTATATGTCAATTCGTCACCTCTTGCTGGCCTGTGGCAGGGGTACTTGGATAACCGCAAGGAGCCCTGGGTAGGCGAGGTAAGGTGAAATGAGGGTTTAACATCATGTTCAAGATTGTTGCACTTATCTAGCGATGTACATGTGCATGCGAGTGTTTCCTTGTACTTGTCTTGACTAATGCCGATTTAAAACTGCTAGCCTACTGAGATACCATGCTGCACTTTAACACGAATACTCCACTCAGACACAGTATACTGACTGTGATTCCTTGTGTTATCCCATTAATCATGTTAATGCCGAACACCAGGCAGGGTAACAACAAGTTACATCTTTTGATATCTTTTGGTATGACGCAGACTGATTTCAACGCCTGCGCCACCGCCAGACACACACCCACAGCCCCCCCATCCCCTGACCTTCAGCTCTCCGGGCGGATGCTCTATCACGGAGGCTGTTAGCCCTGCCACAGGAGAGTGCCTGTGGCATTCATATCTGATCCATTTGTCTTGTGTACAATACTCAACGTACAATACTGTCAATCAAGCCACTAAGAAAGCAACAAATCATTTGTAAAAGTCAATTTTATTTAACAAATGAGACAAGGATTATAGAGGTGTTAGGTGCAAGTCAAGTGCAGTCTTTGAAAATCTGAATCCAATCTTTAAAATAACAACTTACTAATCTTCCAATCATATCCATAAAATAACATGTTCTGGTAATAAATTGTTCCCACACCTACCCAAACACACTATTTCATAGAGGGCACACAAAAATCATGTCCTGTAATAATGTAAAGAATGTAATGCACCAAATCCACACAAGTGCTACATTATTACCCCAGTCAATGGATCAGTGTGCACTTGATTTTCATTCTCAGCTCCCTGGGAAGTATACAACCCAAGCTGCCTGTGAACGCTAGGTTACCAGTCATATTACCATCTCATCCTACCAATTCCTTGGCTGAAGATGATTTTTCAACCATATGTTTGCATTGTCTTTACATACATCTCATAAATAATCAGCTTGGGTTAAAGACATTTAAGACATTTGCTCATGTTCAAATATTTTCAAAATGCTTCCTGAAAACCTGCAAATCAGCATTTTTAATACATTTTATTCATACACATACTTTTAGTTTTGTGCACACGCACATACTGAAATAGACTTTCTCTTTCATGTGAACATACCTGATATATTTCATATCAATTTCTAAACATTTTGTTCATTTCATAAATTATGCATGATCCGGTGGGCCAAATAGGTCCCATATAGTACCGTGTCCTTTAACTGTCTAAAAAAAACCAACACATTTAATATATCCACTGTTCCATGCTGCAAGTGATTGCACTGCACTGACCACTATGAACATTGTGTCTACTGGTCAAAACATTCATAGATGTCATTTAAACATAAATTTGGTGTCCACATAAGGAGTATTTGTTAGGTTACGAGAAACAAATTTTTTTGACATTATCATGGTTATTGATGCAGGTGATTAATACATATGTAATGAACCTGATCATAAAGGGAGGAAAGGAAACATGCACTTGAGTAGTAGTTTTGATTAGATACAAATTAAACAATTTGTTTCCAAAGAGATAACACGCTAAAAGAAGGTTACCATCAACTTGTATATGGTAACTACATCCAGAAGTGGCATTCATTCTCATATACTGAAACTTTGTGAACACATATTCAAATTTTGGTAATATTTGACAAAATGGCCTCAAATATCAAATTAAGTTGTTCTGTATATTTAGGCATAAGATGATGAAATGCAACAATGTCATTTTGTCATACAGTCACCATTCTTTGTCATGTCAGTCAATATTTACTGCTAACATTGTTTTCCTGTACTTCAAATAAAGATGATTCTGAATTTTCATTGTGTCAGTTTATTTTGTTGTGTATGCATCTTTAGGCATGAAACCTCAGTTTATCATGTTTGCAATGTTATTCATAACTGCTAAAACTAAAACACTTAGTGATTTTTCAATTTATAAAAGAAGTTTGAACAATTTTACAGATTAAGATTTCAGAAAGATTATGGCATGGAAATGTTTTTGCTTCCTACAAATGTCTTAGGCCAATGCTTGATAGGTATGATGTCAAAGAGCTATAATTTGAGAAAACATGCTACTCAAAAGAAGTTAAAGATCACCTGGTTCTTTCATATTACTATAGTGAGTGAGTGAGTAAGTTGTGCTTTAAGCCGCATCAGCAATATTCCAGCTATTCGCGGCTACATATTACTATAGATTAACTATAGTAATATGAAAGAATCAGGTATTCCATATCTTTTGTGTAGTATATTACAGTTCAGAAACTTAAACTGAAAATACAAAATGTATCTAGGAGTTATTTTTTTAACAATATATACAACAACCCAAACAATGCTAAATAAAGTGTAAGTACAAAAGCTAAACACTCAGAAATGTTTCTTACACCACAGATATCTGTCTATGATCATAAAGAAACAATTCAAGAAAAAGAATAAAAGAATAACGTAAGAAAGCAAAAAAATATTTAAAGATCAGTACACACAAATCTCTCTCATTCTTATTACAGATCCCACATGGTAATGTTATATACCACTCAAAAGAAGTTAAAGAACACCATATTATTTCATATTACTATATTCTGTCATGGCTTCTTTGGAGCAGTATATATCATTAGTATATTATCTTAGCTACAGACAAATCCCACAAGCACCTGCTCCCAAGTATTGCTTAATGATCTCAAAGTGCAGGGCTTCAAACTCATGGGAATACATAACGATCAAGAGACCCATTGCCTGTGACAATGGATGGCCAGGTTGGAAACACGTTGGCCAGAAAGTGAAAGGTCATTTGGTATTTTTTAATTGGTCAGTGACCTCTGGCAATCAAAAGCACAGCATATACCGTATTCGACGTAATAAGCGCCTAGGGCGCTCTCAAAATTAGAAATAGGGGGCTCTTATTAGAATGTTATTTCGGTAAAAAAAAAAACAGTTGAAAGATAAATTTCGTGGTTTATGCTGACAGCCTGAAATGTTTATGTACGACAGATATATTTTTCCAGAATTAAATGCCCATAATTAAGGGTGCATATAACACACAAGTGCTTAAATAAGTCTTGTGTACATTGATCAATCGGAAGGGGTGCTAATTGGGATTGTTCACTAGCCAATATCTTAGCAAATGTCGCCGTGGGCGCTTATTACGTCGAATACGGTATGTGTCTTTCATTGTGTTGAGGCTAGTGTTAATTCCTCTGCCAGTCATTGGACCTTTTCTTCACAGTATGTCAAAAGTTGGAGATAAAAAAATAATGCTGTTGTCCTCAACATGCTCTTGTACATGGTAGCTAGATCATAACTTGAAATATTCCTGGCCACTTTAACAAAACAATACCTATTCAAATATGTCAAATCTAAACTGACCAAATGTCCCCCCAAACAAGTCCATAACATCTTTAATCATGTTAATTGTAAATTAACGAAATGCCATCAAGTCTAAAATCAATATATTGTGGAACCAATTTTTTGTTCACAGATTAACAATACACCAGTCATTCTATTCACATAAACATGCATACATGTTTCTGGTATGACCTGCTCTTAGCTGACCGAGGGCAAAGCAGGGAAAGTCATTGTTCACTGTGTTTCTGGTATCATGGCCACCATAATGATTTCATTCTCCCCGCCACTAACTTGAAGCTGACTTGTATCGATGGTGGTGAGTATGACCTGCTCAGAGCTGACTGACGGTAAAGCAGACTCCTGTATGTATGAGTGTCCGTCCAGATGTACCACCTGAGTGTACGCCCCAATGTCTCCCTGTATAAACTGTACTTCAGTCATATCCTGCACCACCTGAACATCACACTCGTTCATCTCACTGATGCTTGCAGTTGCTTCCGCCAAAATATCCCGCCTTTGTTCCTCGGATTTAATCTTTTGGCAGGCAAACACTTCATCCAGGAAAGATGAGTGATCTATTGATGTTTGTGTGGCAATTTGATGACTGGATGATTCTGCCAAGTCTTTCTTCAATGCCTCCACCATTTCATTCTCTCTCTCTTTCTTCCTATGGTACTCCTCATGCTTTCTTACATCACATTTCCGATCAAAGCGTTTTTCACAGAGGTTACAAGCATATTTCTTCCTCTCATGTTCGTCTTGATGGGCCCTCAAATGCTCTTCTTTACCATATGCCCGACCACACACCTTACATTCAAATGGACGCTTTCCAGTATGAACTCCAATGTGGCTTTGCAGATAGCGAACACGTTTAAACTTTCGACCACAAAATCGGCAACATTTCTTATTATCACACTCTCTTAAGTGAGTAGTTTGCAAGAACATAATATCTCGGAAGTATATTCCACATCGAGGGCATTTTACTTTTTCTGGTCCTTCATGTACTTTCATATGACTCTTCAACCGCGTTTCCAACGAGAACACCTTTTCACATTCCTGACATTTAAATTTGCCCTTATGCTGCTTCTGATGGTACACCAAGTCAGATTTTCTGATGAAACATTTACCGCAGGTTTCGCATTTCAAATTGCGCTCTCCAAGGTGACGTTCCATGTGGTGCTTGTACTTGTTCTCAAGATAGAATCCCTTCTCGCATATACTACATTTATAGTTTTTGGTCTTACTGTGGTACTGGATATGGTTCTTGAAGGAGGTCCTGAATTTGAAAGATTTCCCACAGGTTTCACACTGGAATGGCTTCAAGTCTCCATGGCACAATTCATGGATCTTGAGCTCGGCATTGAAGAAGAACGCCCGCTCACAGCCTGGATGCTGACATTTATGTTTTCTGATACCAGTGTGCTTCACCTTATGTCTGTTCAGCCCCGACTTGCTGTTGAAAGACTTTCCACAGTCATCACAGAGGTAAACTTGCTTCACAGCTTCATGCGTCTGCATATGGGTATTCAGGCTACTGACCTGAGAGAAGAATCTCCCACATACTGTACACCCATGAGTCTTAGGTCCATGACACAGCTTATGTTTCTTCAACAAGCTATTTGAGACAAATCCTTTGTCACACATGTCACACTGAAAAGGTCTCTCGCCAGTGTGTTTCATCATGTGTTCTCGGAGATAACATGCCTCAGCAAATCTCTTCTCACACAACTCACATCCATAGGCCAGCTTTTCTTTTGAAATGTGCACCTTCAAATGCCTTCTCAGACCAAAATCATGATAAAAGGCTTGAGGACAAAGGTTGCATTGGAATGTTCTCTCTCCTTCATGTCTGATCATATGTCTTTTCAACTCACTTGGTACGAAAAAGCGTTTTTTGCATACAGTGCACTCATGTTTACAGATGCTGTGTTTCATAATCGTGTGTCGTCTTAGGGAATGTTGCAGTGTGAATACCTTGTCACACTGATCACAGCTGAACAGGCCACTTCTCCTTGTGGAGGCTTTCATTCTTTCCTTCTGTGCTGCTATCCTTTCAACATGCTTCTTATAAGCAAATTCTCTCAAATCATCTGACTGGGCGGTTGTCTCCTCCTTCTTGTGACTCCTTATGTGGCCTCTGAGAGAGAAGATGTTGTCGAATGTCAGACCACAAACATCACACATGGCTGTTTCCTTGTCCTGTTTCTTTCCCGTATTTTTGTTGAGAAGTTTTTCTGACTTGACCTTGGTAACGACATCCCGACTTGAATGTTTGAACTTGATAAGATGGTCTCTCAGACTGCTGGGATACTTGTACTCCTTGTCACACGATTCACATTTGTAAGTCCTACCCTTGTGACTGTTCATGTGTCTCTTCAGGAGTGAGCGTGTCCGAAATAATTTCTGACAAACTGTGCATTTGTTCGACCCAGTTTGGTTGTGAGTCCATTTGTGGTATTCCAGCTCATTGTTATTGATGTACCCCTTCCCACAAATATCACAGGTGAATGGCCGCCTGGTGGTGGGCAAGTGTGTACTGGTGTGCTTTTTGCAACTGGACATGCATTTAAAACTCTTAAAGCAAATTCTGCACTGAAATGGATTTTTTCCATCATGAAGCAGTTTATGCTGTTCCCGATTCTCCTTTGAGTGGAACTTGGCGTTGCATTGTTTGCATGGGAAACACACTTTTCCATATTTCTGATAGTGTTTGACTAGGGTCACATTAGAAAGGTATTTGCGGAAGCAAATTTTGCAACCATATTTTAACTGACTTCCTTTCATTTTGACATTTTTCACTTTACAAGTGGTATAAGCAGTTTTCTGTGTGTCCTCTGTTTCAGCTTTTTCATCATCTGCATGTTCCTCCTCTTCAACATGTTCTTCATCTATGTCTTGATGACCGCCATTCTCAAGCCCCTCACAAACAACAAGATCAAGACACTCTTTCTCAAACAAACCCAGAGTAATTTTAGGCAGATTAATTTTTCCAATCGCAGAATCATTTGCAACAGTTTCCACGCCAACACTAACATCCTCGCTTTTCAATCCCAATGACTCCCTCATCGATTTCTCAGCTTTGATCTTATGCTTAAGGTAGGTCCTTCTTTTCTTCTCCTCTCGCAATTCTTCCTTACTCCTATCCAATGGCTTAGGATCTCTTGGTGCTTTTTGAATTGGCTCTGCTGTATCCTCAGTGTAGTGGCCCTTATGGACATGAATGTGTTCCATGAGGCTTGCATACACCTTGTACATCCTGTTGCAAGTATAGCATCGGTACTTTTTCGTACTGTGATACTTCATGTGTGCGTTGAGAAGATACCGAGCACCAAATTTGGAATCACACTGATCACATGCATAGGGACGATGCTCAGCATGGATGTAGGAATGTTCTCGGAGTGAATGCTGCTCTGTAAATCCTTTCCCACATTTCATACAAATAAATGGCCTTTCATGAGGAGCCAGGTGAGTCTTCACATGTTTGTTGGCGGTTGATGGATTTGGGAAGCTTTTATGACATACTTCACAGACATATGGATGAATTCCTGAATGGGCTAATTTATGCTGCTCAACATCAGCTTGATTGTGAAAGCCAGCTGCACAGATATCACACTGCACCCGCTCTGTGCCTGCCTTGTTGATGTGACGCATAAGGTACCGTTTCATTGGGAAACTTTTATGGCAAACAAGGCAAGCATATTCTTCTTGAAGTACTTTGGCTGAACACCCAGGTGTGACTGGCACAGGAACATGTACAATTCCAGCAGAGGCTGGACTTCTGCTGTGTGAGTTTCTGGTTTCTTTATCTGCATTTTCAAGCTTAACTGGCGACTTAGCTTTATCACTTATTACTTCCTTGTTGGTAGTCTTCTTTAGGACAGTAGTCTCAACTGCAACACTCTTGTACCCAGAAACAGTCTCAATTTCATGGTCTGCCACATCTTCAGACAGGGTTGAAATATCAAAATCTGGATCATTTACTGAATTATCAAGAATTGCCTCATCTCCACTTTCATAATGAACTGAAATATCTTCCTCAAAACCAGCTTCCTTCTTTCTCTTCAAAGGTGGTGAGACTTGTGGACTATCATGATCTTTATATGCAGGTTTCCTTCCCGGCCTCTTCCCAGAGGGAGTTGAAACCTTTTTAGTTTTGCCTCCTACCTTTGGTGTAGTAACTGATGGATCTGCCTGATTAGCAGCATCAAGATTTCCAGGTTTTGTATCCTCTGTCGTTTGCCCGTTAACTGCAGTCCTCCTGAACCTACTCTTGGTAGTTCGAGATGATCTTCTGATACTACTGGAAGGAGTAGAAATTGCAACTGGAGAAGTGAAGGATGCTGCTGGTGGTGTCACTACATCAGATTCTACAGCATCACTTCTCTGAGTTGTACCAACACATGGTGTTGATACTTCCTCATGAGGTGGCCCTGGTGTTTCAAGAGCAGGTCCTGTATCCAACGGTTTTATATCAATATCATCAATTCTTGTAAGTACAATCTTTGGCATCAACTTTATATGGTCAAGTGGACACAGAGTGTCATATGAACTCTGCAATGTTTCGGTTTTCTCCGGCAAATCGGATGATCTGGGCAATGTTTCGTCTTTCTCAGGTAGCTCAGATGATGTATGCAACATTTCATCTTTCTCAGGCAGATCAGATGAGCTATGCAATGTTTGGTCTTTCTCGGGCAGATCAGATGATCTGTGCAACGGTTGGTCTTTCTCTGGCAGATCAGATGCTCTATGCAATGTTTCATCTTTCTCAGATAGATCAATACTTCCATCTACTTTATGTTCCTCCGTTAGCTTCAATTTCTTCCTTGGTCTTCCACGTTTCCTTTTTTGTTCAGTATTAGGTGCATCTGCATGGCAGTTGTAACAGAGATTCTTTTTCTCAATGACACTAAACACCAGCTCAAGTTGTCGATCGAGGCAGATAAGGTCTTTTCCACATGAACTACAGCCATTACAGACATTCCTTTGGATGACACCCACACCAAAGTTACTGCACTTGATTATTCCTGTCTTGACCAAATCTATAAAAGATGGTTTCTGATCCTCTTCTACGTGGACTGCAACTTTTAGCTCAATGTCATGGTCACCAAGGACATTGGTCTCCTGCAGGACACAACTCAATGAAGAAGCTAGAATCTTCTGAACATTACCAGCCATTGTGGATACCTTGCAAGTCAGTTTTCCCTTTTAAATCTGTAACAAGATACATACAATGAAGTCATTTGGCATACAAGGATTTCTGTCATGCTATCATTTAGGCCAAAAGTAATTTGAAAGTTTGTGACATTTTTTTAGTTGAATTACTTACTCACTGCATCCAAAAGAAGTGCTGCTATGTGGTTATTATGTGTAATATCAATTTGTAAGATCAATTTTGCATTAGACCATACTCTTTACATTACCAATAACTGTTAGAGAGTACACATTGTATCTGTGAAGATCTGGGTTAGAATAGGTCTTCAGCAGCCCATGCTATGTCATAAGAGGGAACTAATTGGGATCGGGTGGTCAGGCTCGCTGACTTGGTTGATGCATGTCATTGTATTCCAATTGTGTAGAGTGATGCTCATGATGTCCATCACTGGAGTGTAGGTTCAGACTCAATTACTTACAGACTGACGTCATGTAACTGGAATATAACTGGAGTGCAGAATAGACAACAAACTGAGTACACATTGTACATGATGTAAGAAGTTGATAACATCCCAGATACAAATATCATGTGTTGATAGTTTAACTGAAAAACATACATACTGTTTTCTCTAAGCTATCAGATTAGTTTGTGAGTTTTGAGTCTTAAGGTTAAAAATTGAAATTAAATATCAAACTTTGTTCCTAAATTGTTCCTCTTATGAAACTGTCAATACATCTACAGCAGTGACAATCATTTTACAATGTAACTGAGCAATTCAGGGGATATGAAATCCTGCCCTAACTAATCTCTCTGAAGTAAATACAGTTTTTAACATGGTAGTTGCAGATTCGTATGTACATATTAGATATTGGTTAAAATACATGAACAAGATTTACAGAATGTTTACTGTTTGACTTGCTTACTTTTCACTTGAGACAACATGGAATAATGTTATAGGGTTTTGACAACTGGCCCACTGGACAAATGACCATGAAATATTAACTGGTTCATAGACTGAATGTTGAGTGAGTGAGTGAGTGAGTGAGTGAGTGAGTGAGTGAGTGAGTGAGTGAGTGAGTGAGTGAGTGAGTGAGTGAGTGAGTGAGTGAGTGAGTGAGAGTGAGTGAGTGAGTGAGTGAGTGAGTGAGAGTAAACCACTTTAGTGAAACCCACAAGCATGGGTACTTGAACCCATGATCATAGGTTTCTGGTGCGCCCAGGGGATGCAACTCTGCACAGCGGATGGTGGCGCTTCAGACGACATGTCCCTCACTTCATAATTGGATGAATCTAAACCTTCAATATGTTTGGGGTGGTCGATATAACTGGTACAGCATTCCCATTTACTGGCAATTACCATTTTTTACCGGTAAAATTAGCCCTGGACCGGTAATTCATGTGACAGCCAGTCCCTTGTGGACCGGCAAATAAAGTACCTTATAAATCTTTGTTGTTGAACAAAACATCGGTGATATTCATATAAGTACATTTTTCGAACAAAGTCAGCTTGTCTGTTACCACAATTTTTAGCGACTTCGTCTCGAAATATTAAAAAAAGAGAGAAATTTGTGTGAATGACGTTTAGATCTAATTAAGTTACTTCAGAGATGATATTTTTGCACTGAACATGATGTTGAAAGAATTAAAACCAAATAATTTTCATACCTTTTCTTATTTGTAGAAAGTCGGACTGGCAAAAATTAGAGGGGACTGGTAATTTTTAGAGTTGCCAGTCCACACTGTTCAAGATATTGCACTTATATAGTGACTGGCAACCACATGTAGGCCTCGGTGTGTACTAGTTGGGAATAATACTGGTTTTATAGTGCAAGCTGAATGAGGTACCATGCCAGAGTTTAATATGGACATCCCACTCACTTACACAGTATAATGAGGCCAACAGTCCTTGTTTTAGTGCCTAAAAGGGACAGGTTGTTAACTGTTTTTAAGCTTTGTTTGTAAACAATAGCCAATGACCCCTGAGTTTATTCTGCTCGCCTTATTCCGTTTCTGCTCCAGTGACCACACCTAGGCCTAAAATGTGACCTGACTTTTCCTCTTGTTTGTAAACAAATGCACTCATTCTGAAGTAACATGGAATGGAACGATATAAGCCATACAGTGTGCCTTAGATATTGTTTTGCATTACTAAATAGATATACTACTACAACTGCGACAGTGAGGTGTATGACAATATCGCTAGCTTTCAACAGGGCTTCAATGACCAGATGTCGAGGATAAATATGCAAATAAAAATATTTTTCATGTTTTAGGACATTTTCTCAATGAAAGTTCAACATTTCATGACATTTTTTATTTTCTCAATAAAGGTTTATCTTTATTGAGAAAAGTTTATCATTATCTAAATGTGAAGACTTGTCCAAAAAGACACAGATGTTAAACACATGAATGGACTGTGTAAGATGTGACAGAGGTATTCAGGTGGCCGCAAGGAGTGAGTGAGTGAGTATGGTTTTACGCCGCTTTTAGCAATATTCCAGCAATATCACGGCGGGGGACACCAGAAATGGGCTTCACACATTGTACCCATGTCGGGAATCGAACCCGGGTCTTCGGCGTGACGAGCGAACGCTTTAACCACTAGGCTACCCGACCGCCCCTGGCCGCAAGGAAATCTGGGTAGGAGAGTGATTGGCTTCATATGACTGGGGCATATTTATCTTGTAATCGAGGCTTTGATAAACACTGGCTTCTTGGTTGGTTGGTTTGTTGTTTAAAGCCGCACTCAGCAATATTCCAGCTATATGACGGCGGTCTGTAAATAATCGAGTCTGGACCAGACAATCCAGTGATTGACATCATGAGCATCGATCCACACAATGGGGATCGATGACATGTATCAACCATGTCAGCAAGCCTGACCACCCGATCCCATTAGTCGCCTTTTACGACATGCATATTCGCCTTTTACGGCAAGTATGGGTTGCTGAAGACCTATTCTACCCCGGAATCTTCACGGGCCTAATCCAATCAAGCTGACAATTAGTTTTTTCTAACTGAGTCGTAAGAATAACACAATAACTTTCTCTTCAATTTGCCTCGATTAAAAAACAAGACTGAAGCCAGTTTACTCTGCACAAGACTTGTGTTGTCGGCTTCGCTGTGCGGAACGTTTGGGTTTGAGGACTCAATCAGGCATGTGACGTCAGACTCGGAAATTATTTCATGCACACAGAACCATCCACATACGGTTCCTTTTGTAGGGTTATCTATATTATATATGACTATGGTTAGGTGCTCTACCGCCTAAACATTACTAGCTCTGTTATGCATGGCTGCAGAGATGTGAGAGTGATCTCCCTCCTATCATTGACATTGTGGAGGCTGTATACTCAACACTCAGTACAATAAACCTACTATCTTCGAACTATATATATTGTGGCATATTGAGAAGACATAACACCTTTGATACCAAACACCAGGCAACAACTAAGTACACAACCTGTGAAGATCCACGGAAGAATAGGTCTTCAGCAACCCATCCTTGGGTGAAAATCTCAACACCGTAACAATTTCCCACTTGACCTGTCCATCAGTAGTTTGTTTGCAGAAATGCATTTTAAGATATTTGATTTCCCTTTCATGACTATTCATAGGTAGATTACCGTCCTTTCTTCAAATGTAAAATGCTAAAGAAATGTATTTTCAAGTTAATATTTGTTTGTTTATAAGCAAATATTTTTCTGGATTTACTTAAAACATGGCTGTCCCTCAAATGGACCAGAATAAAAAATAATACCTAAACTATATCTAAATATTATAAAAATGTAACAAATTTTGTTTATCAGACTCTCAAATGAACATTAATTACATGTATCCTATCATTATTATCTGAAAAAAAGAAGAGTTTGGAATCTTGCTGCCATGGAAGCGTAAAAAAATAAAAATTTCTAAAATTTCTAAATAGCAAAAGTCACCAGTTCAGCATGTACCTGACAAACCTGCAAAGTTATGCTCCGGAAACGAACCCTACCCTCACAGAACCTAAGTCCATCTTGATGCCATGGAAACGTTCAGCATGTACCTGACAAACCTGCAAAGTTTCAAGAAAAAATATTGAATGGTTTATGAGTTATGCTCCGGAAACGAACCCTACCCTCACAGAACCTAAGTCCATGTTGTTGCCATTGAAACGTAAAAAATAAAAATTTCTAAAATTTCTAAATAGCAAAAGGCACCAGTTAAGCATGTACCTGACAGACCTGCAAAGTTTCATGAAAAAGTATTGAACGGTTTATGAGTTATGCTCCGGAAACGAACCCTACCCTCACGGAACCTAAGTCCTTCTTGTTACCATGGAAACATAAAAAATACAAATTTCTAAAATTTCTAAATAGCAAAAGGCACCAGTACAGCATGTACTTGACAGACCTGCAGAGTTTCATGAAAAAATATTGAATGGTTTCTGAGTTATGCTCCGAAAACGAAACGTGACGGATGGTGCCCATTTCTTTGTTGGGCGGGGGATAAAAAAGAACTGCGCTATGGGAGATAACTCTCATACGCTTCCTCATTTGGCAACATGTGTATGAAGATCATCTGTTGGTGATAGATAGATGCCACATTTATGTACAATGTTCAAGCCAATGACATCAAGATGTCTCTGTTAAGTACAGTATGTTTTCTAAGCCTCAACTCTGTTACACTGTCTATAGATCTATATCTCATTCTAATTTACTTCACTTTTCCAAGATAAATCAGTTTGTAAGATCATGTTAGCAATGAGTATTTTAATTTCCATAAAAAGCAAAGCATGGTGGGATATGTGCCATATATAGTAAGGTTTCTCAACTCCGTTACACTCAACTCTGTAATGCTGAACAGCGTAACGGAGAGGAAAAATAAGTACATCTGCACAATTTCGATAGTTATTGCCAGTACATAGCTTTGTTTTTCTTCAAGAATTCTTTTTTTTTTAACCTTATACCTGACAAATAATTTTCCCACAGTCAGTTATAAGAATTAGTCACTCAGACTACTCTGATGTTTCTGATGAACAAGATGTTATGACCTGCGCTAAATGTGGATTTTCTACTATTGATAGTTCTCACTCAGACAGTGTACTAATTATTGAAGACAAAACTGTAGTTTTTCACATTGATGGGAGTGACTGGACAGTGTTGATGTTGTGATTGATCTGGAATTTGATCATTACAATTGTGAGTTTAGTAACTATATTATAGTGATCTAAAAGGGCATTATAAGCAGCTGTGTGCTTATTTATTTATTTATTTCAACGTCTATACAAAGGGTTGAACATTAGAAATTTAGTAGACCCACTTTTGTATGCCATCACTGCAGTAACTGGCTTATAATCCATGAGTACCAAAGTCCTAACAAGTAACACAATTCAGTACAAGTATTTTCACATTTCATCTCAAAAGGGATGAAAAGGTTGTTATTTTATGCTACAGAGCAATAACAAAATATATGAGTAATTACTCCGTTACAACAAACTCAACTCTGTTACGTCAGGATTATTTTTATAGATGATTTCTTTTGACGATTGACAAAAAAGTTTGTTGTTTTTATGAGTTTTAACATCAGATTAGGATTAATGGTAATATATGTTGTGACAAAAGATGAAAAATACTATATTTTGGATACTGTCTTTCATGTAAATGACTTTGTTATCTAGGCAACCTTTTGAAATATTGAGGGAGCACTTACAAATGTCCAATCATACATTTTATTTAGCCAGTTTCCATTTGTATTAACACTGAATTGTATTCACACTTAATGTTAATTGTTGAATATGATTTTATATCAGACCCGTGAAGATCCGGTGTAGAATAGGTCTTTTTTAGCAACACATCCAAGGTTGCCGTAAAAGGCGAATGTGCTTGTTGTAAGAGGCGACTAACAGGATCGGGTGGTCAGACTCACTGACTTGTTTGACGCGTGTCCCAATAGCGTGGATCAATGCTCATGATGTCAATCACTGATCCAGACTTGATTATTTACACTGCCGTCATATAGCTGGAATATTGCTTAGTGCGAAATTAAACAACAAACAAACAAACAAAACTAAGTACACATTTTGTTGGGTTTATCTCACAATGATTCACGATGTGCAGTAAAGGGACCTATCAATTGTTTCATAATTGATATAGGCAAGTGCCATGATTAGTAAATATCACCATGTGCGTTTGTTATGGTTGGAGCGTGGACAAACCACAGCACTCGATGCCATCGAGTGCGGAGATTTTTTGTTTACTTCTGTGACAAACAGCCGTGACTGAGCCAATCTTTTGATAAAAATCACTCGATATAAGTACAAAATTGAAAAAAAAAATGAAGGTTTAATTGTGTCATGCAGGGCGTTGGTGGAGGGAGGTGGGGAGGTATTGTGAACATGACATGCATACATTTTCATTTAATGTAAATGATACAGCCGATTTCAACTTTGGCTAAGATGACGTGACGTATACCTTGTCATATATATATATATATATATATATATATGTGGGTCCGGTGTTTCATTAATATTACTTTCCTGCTCCAGGGGGCTGGGCATTTCTTAGAAGTTTTTGGAACACAAATTAGACAAAAATGTGTTTTGGATAACAACTTCTTTATTATACTGTTATGGGGACATTTTGTCATAGAATCTTATACCGTTGTCAAGCAAGACGGAAAGGGGCCTATCAGGTCTCATCAGGTTTCATGTTTAGCCTACTCACGGACGTATATACACGTCTTTGGCCTACTTCATGTTGTGTGCAAGTCAACCAGGTCATTGACATTATTAAATTATTACACAGGTAACTGTGCATAATTGTTCAACCTAATAACACAGATGACTGAGTGATTGTGTGCGACCAGAAGTAGAGCCTACAACTACAAGTAGTTCGTCATTCCGAATACGCACAATGCCAATCTGGCGTTTTGATAGCCGCCATCTTGATCACAGTGTTCGGAAAATGCGATTTTGGAACAGTACCAATTCATGTGATTACCGCGTAACAAGTGGTTAACTTACAAGAATGTTATTTTGCATTATATTTTTATGTCTTAACTGTGTGCAAGTACAACCGTATGCATACCTTTCTTGGTGTCATTTACATCTACATTTTAGCTTTGTTACTTCCTCAATTGCATCAACGCCATTGAGGGCAGCCCTCTGCATGGTTTTAAGCCTCTGTTTGGACTCTGCGCTCGAAGATTGCCGAACTTATCCGATTTGTTCCGCATGCATTTTTACAAGGGAGATAACTGTATCAATATGTTTGGTATCAACCCTCTAAATATCTTTTCAAACGTGGTTATGCCAAACTTTAAGTCGGAGCACGGACGTATATACGTCTTTGGTCGGAGGTAGTGTGCATTTAATATTCAAACAATTTGAGTCTGTTAGCAAAATTATAATCAATGTTAAAAAATATTATTTTTGTTGAAAACATGACAGTGATGTCATAAAGGCCTAGGGGCCTACCACAAGCTTCAGTCCACCATTTTTAACCAAGATATACCAATAGCTCTTGCTTGCAAACTATTTAAAACATTAATCGAGCCAGTAATTTTATATAATAGTGAAATCTTGGGTGTAGAATCAATCCTCCCGAACAACTTTGATTCATTTATCTTATAATACTTCAGAACGCTTTTACAGAAAGTACATATTTGGTGAAAAAACGATTAGGATGGGTTTACCAGCTAAATCTATTCTTAGGAAAACACAATTTGAGTATTTCAGCTTTCCTATCACCAATATTCAAAGAGACAATCAAATCTTAATTCAACTCCCTCTTCAAGGAATCTCTTCAAGATGTAAATACAACAAGAGGCACAGGAAACAAACTTAGGACATATAGGATAGTTAAAAATGAAATAAAATTAGAACCCTATCTCAGTCACTAAGATTAAGTAACCATAAATTAAATATTGAACTTGGAAGACACACAAAGCCACCAACCCCACTACATCAGAGGCTATGCTCTACATGTTCAATCATTGATAACGAAAAACATTACTTACTTCACTGTATTAAACACACTCGAGAAAGAAATATACTCTTTGAAAAATTATCCAGACAAAATGTAAATGTAAATGTCCACAGTCATGAAGATAAATTATTTCAATACGTAATATTGATTATTTTGTTTTTGTATGTGTCTACAGGAATGTAAATTATGTATGTCTGTATATATGTATATATAAATCATAATGTCTTGTCTTTTAAAATTGCATCTGTCCCGTAATGGAACGTTTCTGCAAATAAATATTATCTTATCTTATCTAAATGATTTGGTTGTCATCAAAAGAGAAATGTTTCATACCCAGTGCAAGAAGTAGGTGAGAGAGTGAGTGTGATTGGACACTCGCATATTGTACCCATACTAGGATAATCAAACCCGGATTTCAGGCATAAGGAGCGAACGCTTAACCACTTGGCTACTATATCGCTCTTTAATCCGAGGAAGAAGGAAATGAATGTATTGTTATACATTATTATAGTGAACCTTTCTTAGGTGGGGATAAAAAATACAAGAAACCGCTCCGCAAGTGGTATGCTGAGAGCACCACCATTACGTAACTGACCCATGTGGGTTGGAATTGGTTTTCAGCAACCCATGCTTGTCGTAAGAGGCAACTAACGGGATCCGGTGGCCAGACTCGCAGACTTGGTTGATGCATGTCTTTATACCTCAGATCGATGCTCATGATGTTAATCACAGGGTTGTTTGGTCCAGAATCGATTATTTACAGACCGCCGGCATGTAGCTGGAATGTTGCTGAGTGCGGCGTTAAACAACAAACAAAGAAACAAACAACTTGATTGACACTGTAAACACTCTGCGTATTGTTTTACAGCATTCTCGTTCATCCAGTATATTATATCGTCATTCTATCATATAGGATTTTTAAAAATAAAAAGAAGGAGATATGATATACTGGATAATCCAGAATGCTGTAAAACAAAACGCAGTGTATACAGTTTACAGGGTGGTCTTACAGTAAGTCATCCACTTAGGTGAGTGAGTGAGTATAGGTTTTACACCTCTTGTATAGCAATATTCCAGCAATATCACGGCAGAGGACACCAGAAATGGGCTTCACACATTGTACCCCCGTGGGGAATCGAACGCTTTAACCACTAGGTATTGGTTGATCCAAGGTGTGTGTGTGTGTGTGTGTGTGTGTGTGTGTGTGTGCTGTGCTGTGCTGTGCTGTACAAAGTATCCCGTCAAATTATGATAACTCGGAAGCATGGTTTCCAGATCAAGGTGTAAGTGGGGCGAAACTACCATTGTACCAGAAAAGCGATTGCTTACACCTAACAAAAGAGCACATTTTTTTACACCTAAAAAAACACATTTTTGGGTTAAGTAAACCTCAATTTATCATCTATGCAGGATCTTTTTAATTCAAACTCTACACGGTCTAACATGATATTTATTGTCTAAGTTAAAAATCGGATTTTTTTACGCACACGAATGAACTTGTAAAAATACACAAATGTAATAGCGATTCGTATTAATGTTTAAATTTCATTTGTCATCTTAGATATTTCTTGAATGAACGTCGAATAATGTGTGGGTGTGTTCCCACACGTACATATAATACTAAAATAAATTAACAATATTTGTTACAAATACAATCTAACATAAACCCTCCAAAATGCTGGAAATAGCGTTTATCATGAGCATCTAATTATTAAAAATTAATTTCTGGGGGATCATGCCCCCATACCTAGCGGGCCCTCGTAAATTTAGTTTTTCCTACAGTTAAAATTAGCAAAGTTTCGCCCCTGTCAACCATAATGTATTCTGTGTAGTGAAAGGGCACGCCAGAAACCTATGATTGTGGGTTCGAATCCCGGTTCGCCCCAATTATGTTTCTAGGTTTGTCCGCACCATACCCGTGCTCGTGGGTTTCACCGAAGTGGTAAACGTCTGAGACCTGCATCACTTCGGGCTTTCCTCCCACATTAAGCTGACACGCCGTGATATAACTGGAATACTGTTAAAAGCGGCGTTAAACCCAACTCACTCACTCACTGTGTAGTGAAACCACATCTGAGCGGAAGGTCCGTGGTTCGATCCTCTTACCGCGTCACACCAAAATACGTTAAAGTTGTGGGTTTTTTGTTGTTGTTTAACGCCGCACTCAGCAATATTCCAGCTATATGACGGCGGTCTGTAAATAATCGAGTTTGGACCAGACAATCCAGTGATTGACACCATGAACATCCAAAGATTTGTACTCGTTGCCCTGTGCTCCGCATTACACATTCCAACAAGGATTGGTCAGACCGAAGTCTCTATCATATATATTGCGTTTGTGTTGGGTATCGGGGTTAAACTGCGACATGGTATCTCGGTGAGCCAGTGCTATAAAACCGACATACGTCCGGACAATTTTACAAGCAGACACATACGTGCTTGCACGTCGCTATATATGAGAAATAATCTTGAATGCGAAAGCAGACCACATTTCATCCCATCTCTGTGCATTGATAAATGCGAATAATGAAATATCAGGAAAGGTACAAATAAGATGTGAGTGTTCCTGGCATGGTGAGTATCAGATGTAGGCTGTAGCATAAATGCCTTTGCATGAACGCAAATCTATTATTATCATCTGAGGACGTAGACGTCATCCAACGTGGTCGGTATCAGCATCTTCGCTGATGTCTCAAAGTCATCTTGACCTTTGAACCACCGCACTGGCGGACCCAAAGTGAGTATTATGTCGGGTAAAGCAATGAACCCATATGTGGAATTGAACCCTACTCACTCACTCAATAGTCACTAGGTTAGATACTCACAAAAACAATGTTATGGTTACTGACGCATGTTTCAGGTTTTTTATGTCATTTTAAAAAATGCCCGTGAAGATTCCGGGGTAGAATAGATCTTCAGCAACCCATGCTTGCCGTAAAAGGTGACTATGCTTGTAGTAAAAGGCGACTAACGGGATCGGGTGGTCAGGCTGGGTGGTCCAGACACGATTATTTACAGACCGCCGTCATATAGCTGGAATATTGCTGAGTGCGGCGTTAAACAACAAACCAACCAACCAACCATTTTAAAAACAAACAAACTTGGCTGGCCTGCTAATTGCGCCGAGGCTGCTGTCAAGTCAGCGCCGCAGAATGGTCGGATAGCCCAGTGGTTAAAGCGTTCATCCGTGGGTTCTATTCTCCACGTGGGTGGAATGTGTTAAGGACATCCATGGTATCTCTCGTCGTGATTGGTCAAATATTGACAAAAGCTCACTCTTTAACCCCCAAACAATTCATAGTTACCCCGCCTATTTTACACGTTCCCAACCAAAGGACAAGTGGACGGTCGCTCTACCGAAGAACCGTTCAGGCACAAAATCCACTAGCGTGTGGCGACCTGTAAACTCGTTCATCCAGTCACTACTGTGGGTTTGTCAGTGGATAAACGGGGTCAAACACCTATCCTGAAATCGCTTTACCTGACTGTATTGGAAAGAGTCAACATAATCAGAGGTAAGGATATCCGGACGTGAAAATTTGTAATTGTGACAACATTTCTGTGATCACAGGCACACAGGGACCAAAGTGGGTACCATGACAGCCGTTTGTCACCGGGTTTTATGTCCCCTGGAGTCACACGATGAATACGACAGGTATTCAAAATTGTAAACACGACATGAACTGAATTACTAAAATAGATTTATGAGAACCGGCTTTTGTGTGTTCTATGACATGATTCTTTGTGATATAAGTTGAAGTTTAACTATGTCACTAATGTTGTATTTGGTTATTGAACAGGATATTGCTCCAGAAATATTCGAATTAAACAGGTTAACTGGACGTTTTAAAGTAAATTCTATCATGAACAACACGAAAATGCGAAGGTCAGAAGACAGCTTGTTCACGGATGTGATTGTGTTGAAAATTTGAATTGTCTCCTATTATTCTATCCACTGTTGTGATGGTTAATGACTGGACTCATTAAAATATAATTTAACATTTATATTGTATTTTTTGTCATGGGATAACATTACACTGAAAACAAGTGTTTCGTCCAGGTTAATATGTCCTATGGCAAGAAGTGCACTGGTAGATTTAGATTGAGACAGGGTGCAGTAAGTGCAAACCCAACCTTGTCATATAGTCCCTGTCATGTGTTTTTGTTCACTTCATGACTAGGGTAGTGTGCTCTCCTTTATCAAATTCCCGGATCTGCCTCTTTCGATCGAAGGAATTTCAGGTACGCCATTGACATAGAGTTACAGCTTTGCATTAACTGGCTATTCCAATATAAGGGCATTACCTCCCACCAACAGTATCAGGCACATGCTGGTTGCTTATGGTTATGGTAACTTCAGTGTTACAGTGAGTGAGTTGGGTTTAACACTGCTTTTAACATTATTCCAGTTATATCACGGCGTGTCAGCTTAATCTGGGAGGAAAGCCCAAAGTGATGCAGGTCTTAGACATTTACCACAGCGGTGAAACCCACAAGCACAGGTATGGTGCTGACAAACCTAGAAACATAATCGGTGGTAACCGGGATTTGAACCCACAATCATAGGTTTCTGTGGTGCCCAAGGGATGCAACTTTGCCTCCCTTCAGTGTTATAAGTATGGATTGTATTCCATCTTGGACCTCTATGTATTCAGTTTTATGGACTGATAATCTGATGTAGGTTTGACTTTGCCAGTTGCCATTCAGTGATGGTTGTAATTTTACACACATATTCTTAAAATAAATCTCGAAGTGGTTGTATTCAGTTTTATGGACTGATAATCTGATGTAGGTTTGACTTTCCCAGTTGCCATTCAGTGATGGTTGTAATTTTACACACGTATTCTTAAATAAATCTTGAAGTGGTTGTATATTTCCATCTAAACTCAAATGCTTGGTGCTGGAAATCATGTCATATACGACAAGTATGACTTTTGAAGGGTCACTGTGTTGTCTGTTTATGGATGCAGGAAGGTGCAGGAAAGCATGAAATATTCAACTGATGTCATAACACATTATATCAAATATGCTGTCATATGCTGCAGTGATCTATTGTGGAGTAGAGTAATATATGCTGTTATTTCTCCCACGTAGTTACCAAGTCATACACAGTTGTTTGCAACATGTTCATTTGTCCTGTTTGCATAGATACAGATGTTACATTGTTGCAAAAGTAGGATTTCATATTGAGATATGACACTTAATTCACAGGTTCAGTTCTTGTCTATAGTCCCCATACGATGTCATTTGTTCTAATTTGTAAATAAACTGCCCCATCATGAAACATCTCACTTCTTAAACCATTGTTTGCAGGTAATATCTGATGCATTATGACATGAGCAGTGTAAAACCGTTGTTTGCAGGTAATATCTGATGCATTATGACACGAGCAATGTAAAAAACATTGTTTGCAGGTAATATCTGATGCATTATGACAGCAGCAATGAAAAACCATTGTTTGCAGGTAATATCTGATACATCATGACAGCAGCAATGTATTATCACAATCATGAGAAATAATAAGAAAATATCTTTATGAACCAAAAACAAGTGTGGATTCTGCAGTGACTGATGAAAGAGTATACTATAGAAAGCAGCAATTAACATTGAACATTAACAGTTGCAGAGTTTTGCCAGAGCCATTAATATTGCATCCTGTGAATGGGTGAACTAATTTACATTACGAGTCATGGGTGATGCGAAATGTCAGACTGTTTGAATCAATAAAACTAATAAAGCTTGTAGATTACATGTTACATGTAAATGACATTTCGAATCCAGTAAGAATAACACTACACTATTAATCATTGATTATCTAACACTGGAATCCCTCATCTATAATAGTCTAACAGTTGCATGTGCAATCATATGACATCAGTAAAAGATTTGGAAATCAAGTGAAGCCAACACTAGTGAGTGAGTTGGGTTTAACGCCGCTTTTAACAGTATTCCAGTTATATCACAGCGTGTCAGCTTAATGTGGGAGGAAAGCCCAAAGTGATGCAGGTGTCAGACGTTTATCACTTCGGTGAAACCCACGAGCACGGGTGTGGTGCTGACAAACCTAGAACCCACAATCAGAGGTTTCTGGCGGAAGCCAACACTAATTAGACAGCCAGGGACTCCCATCTTCATGCCTTGGACCCCCCCAAATGTATTACTGAAAGTCCACTGGACTCAAAAAGAGACAAACTGGTTGATCTCTGAAGTTTAGTAAAATCTCCATTTTTCTTCCCATCTAATATGTTTTCAATACAAGTCTCTTTTAATCACAGTTATGTGTTTGAGAAATGAAATATTGTGTCACTGTAGAATATATTTTCTGAAACTATTGTAATAGTGTGGTGTTCTATGTCCATACAATTGCAAGAGTGAAAATAGCCCCAAACACGACCCTATATTAAACTATATTTTCAACAGGGTTAGCATGTATGAAATCTAAAAAGAAAAGAAATATATTCAGGTCCACATGGTTTGTGTAACCTACCAAACTAATACTTAGGTCACAGATCTGGAGAAGCACATCATCCCAAAATTGTGTCCCTGTCTCGAAAATCTATCTCAATATGACCAGTGATAAGAGGTGAAGAATGAACTCTGTACTAAGATTAGATAATAACTTGGTTAGTGATGACAGCTCCCAGTTTAAAGGGCTTGTAGAAGTAGAATTGAGATAAAGACCTGGTTACATATGCCTGTTGTCCCACAGCCATAGCACATGGAGATGAAGGTGGGCATAGTGGTTGAAGTTGTTGCATTGAGTGAGTGAGAGAGTTGGGTTTAATGCCGCTTTTAACAGTATTCCAGTTATATCGCGGTGTGTCAGCTTAATGTGGGAGGAAAGCCGGAAGTGATGCAGGTCTTAGACGTTTACCACTTCGGTGAAACCCAAGAGCATGGGTATGGTGCTGACAAACCTAGAAACATAATAGGGACAAACCGGGATTCGAACCCACAATCATAGGTTTCTGGCCGAAGCCAACACTAATTAGACAGCCAGGGACTCCCATCTTCATGCATATTTCCAGATTCATCCAACAGTTATACTTGGTGTTTCAATGACAGACAGGTGCTTTTGAGCTTCATCAAAGTATTGGGGCAGTGGGGTAGCCTAGTGGTTAAAGCATTCGCTTGTCACACTTCAATTGACCCGGGTTCAATTCCCCACATGGGTACAATGTGTGAAGCTGTTTTCTGCTGCCTCCCTGCGATTATTCGCTCTATAACAGGGGATGTAGCATCACACAGATAATCAGATAATCGCATGTTTTCAAGAGAAAATTGTCTTTTATAAGTGAATGAGATGTTTTACAGTTGGTCGTGTGATTAGAGAGAAAACTACAAATGTTTCTTAAGTGTCCGATAAACCCATAACACGGGGATATGTCTATGATCTGTATCACTTTGTCTACTTGTGTGTTCTTTAGTCCAACACTCAACAGTTTTCCTGCTTTATGATGCAGGCCTGCAAATAATTGAATCTGGACCAGACAAACCAGTGATTAACATAACGAGCAAGTTCCACCCTGTTGGATACAATGACATTTATCATACCTCCATGTCAGAGTGATGAGATCTGATTGGTCCACGTGATCTTGATAAAAAACTGTGTATCCAACCTTTGAGGGGAATAAAATTCTCAGTGGGGGAATAAATCACTTATACCCCGCCATGTGCAAGTCAGGCTGCAGGTGGATTACTGAGGGACAGAATAAATCCTTTATATCCGGCTTCAAAGCAAAAAGCTGCACGCTTTTCCCGAGTCAATGAAAATCATGTGACAAAGCACAAGTTAACCTCAGCTCAATCGAACTGCTGTTTTCTATCAATTTTGAATTTGTTTGAATTATTTTACAATGTCATTTTAAAACATGTCGGTAAGATAAATTTGTTGTAGCAGACTCACTCGGGGTACATGGGGTTTTATGCGTCGCTCACAATTCGAACTCAATTCTTATATTCATCAAAACTAATAAGAAATGCTTTTATCAAGTTGTTGTCTGCAAACTGATGTAAACCAATATTCCCCAAATTTGATTTACACATGCTTATCCCCAACACTATGTACTATGGATTTCGTGGTAAGGACAGAGTTATGCATTTTTGGAAAAAATAGATCAAATAGGTTTTAGAATTGTAATTTGTGGTAGAAATGACGGATACATAGTAAGCTTTAACAGAACTAAAAATGCATCATCGTGTTGTTGGATTTTTCTGTTCATGTAAATTAGTCATGTGACACCTCCCGCGTGTCTCTTGTAAAGTTGTATTTGAGCAAGGTGATTATATGGCTTGTTGTTTAATATTTCTTCACAAGAATCAGTTTTGTTCCTCATTTTTAGATAAATATTTCTCTCTTCTAATGAAATCGGGCAAAAGTAAAATCAGATGTGATGAGTTGCATGCTAAAATGGGGTGTTGGCGATAATTGGTCCTTGGTGATAATTGGTTGCTAGCCAGTAGATATCATGGTTGATATTAAACAATGGCCACAGATACCACCCTCAAATTTCTAACATTCCTCCATGTTATCAAAATCAGATCTTTAACTTCATTACGATACAAATCTTTGTGAAGATCTCACAACTCCTTCATAGGAGGTCACGTCATGTGAACCCTGAACAAACTTTCAAAATCGCCCAATCTAAATATAGG